GAATGAAAGTTTGTTTTGATTGACTGAAAATTTTACCTTATTTGAAGACTTTGTTTCTGAAAATTTAGTTTGTTTTGAAAATTTTGAAAATTATATTAAATATTTTAAAGGACTTTAAAAGTTTTGATCTATTCGTATTTTTTTTACGAATGTTTTAAAAGGAAAATGAATTTTGAAATTTGATATGGAAATTACTTATTGAGTATTTTTGTACTCATCTTTGTTTTTCTAAATATTTTTCAGATGAAGGATTGAATGATCGTTCTGGTAGAAGGTGAAGTTTAGCATACTGGCATGAGTTTGAAAGTCATCCTCCTATTTAGTTAAGTTAGTTAAAAATTCTGTAAAGAAATTGCTTCCGCTGAATAATTTTAGTTCTTAAGGTTTCTTGAAAGTTACGTTTCCGCATTTTGTCAGAATGACCGTATTAGAAAATACGGGTTGTTACAATTTTAGTCTAATTTTAAAACTTTAAACTTTAATCACATTTTAATCAAAATTTGAAATATAATAACAAAAAATAAAATAATTAATTACATCTTAATTAAAATTTTCGCAATATTAATAAAAATAATTTTGCAATATTAATAAAAGTATATAACAATAAAAAAATATGAAAACTCACTACGCGACTTCCACCCAAAAAAAAAAAAGAAGGAAAATATGTGGAAGTCGCGTACATCGAGTCGCGTCCATTGTACGTGACTTACACGTCAACGACAACTCACCCACCACATAGACAATACACGTTGCACGGAAGTAGCGTCCAATGTACGCGAGTTTTGACCCCTCCTTTGACCTAACCTATTTTTGTCAATAGTTTCAAAAACCTAAGTTACTTTTGTATTTATTTATTTAATTTACCTTTATTTAGTTATTATTTTTAAATTAACATTATATTTGTAATTTCTTTTTAAAATGTGATTATTTTAAAACTTAACCCGAAATTTTCAAGATTAGTTTTTTATTTCCTTTTGTTTTTAATTTTAACTTTTACCACCTCAAATTTACCTCTTCTAGTTTTCTAACTCATTTGCACATAATATACAAAGAAATTCACAAGTCATCAAGCCATGTCAATAGCCTAATCAATATTATGTATAGTCAACTCAATTCAATGACTGTCAAAACGAGCATAACTCAGCGGTAATTGACATATACTCAAGAACCATTTTTCGAATTTCAGGAACCAAAATTGTCTATGAAATTTTAAAGATTAAAAATATTTCTAGCTCAAAGACAAAAGTATATTTTTTCCAAAAAAATAAAAATAAAAATTACATAGAGATTTGATTTTAAAGTTTTTTTACAAGGTAGGCAACTAATATTTCCTTAAAAAAAAAAACATTTGAAATTTATTGTGATCTAAAAGCTGGCATTTTAAAATCAAATTTTCAAGTTGGGAATCCTTTAACGAGAAAACAACTCGAGGGTCTCGTTTCAGCTCCATAGCCAAAATTCGGTGGTGGATCAGAGTCGAGCTTCTGCTGGTGATTCCAAATTTCTGTTCTCTTTCCAAAATCTTGCGTCTGAATTCAACAATTTTGGAGAGAGAACATGGTTTTGTCGCAGAAGCTTCACGAGGCCTTCAAGGGAACAGTCGAGAGGATCACAGGGCCTCGAACGGTCTCCGCCTTCAAAGAAAAAGGCGTTCTCAGTGTCTCTGAGTTCATCATCGCCGGTGACAATCTGGTCTCCAAGTGTCGCACCTGGTCTTGGTATTTTTCCGCCATTCCACCCTTTTCCCTTCTCCAATTCGTATTTCTTTCCTTGTTTTTGGTTCTTTTTCAATCTTGTAAGTAATTACAGACTTATATTCTCCAAGTGGGTAACGGAAATACTGATTTTAATCAACCTGAATTCAACGAATGTCTCTATTACAAGATGATTCATATAAATCCCAAAATTTGTACGTATTCTATTTTCCCAGATACTTGATGGAGGTCGTTTGTGGTTGTTGAAAGCACATCAAGGTCGATTACTGTAGTTGAAGTTGAATAATGATTTATTACTCTCGTTTCCCGTTCTTGTAGTTTTTTTTTTCCTTAGTCTCGGGGCCACGAAAGTGAGGTCTGTGCCGAAGTTTAAGCGTTTCAACATAGACTTCGATGAAGGAGGGTAGCTACCTCCATTTTAGTGGCCGGTAGAACTTCAAATACAGCTGAAAAGCTGCAGAAAAAAGGTGCCCCAATTGGTTGCTTTTTCCCAACTTCTGTGTTATGCCAGGGAGAAGGAAGGCATTCTTTATCTGTACCCCATTCAGTTACAGCAAAAGTGCTGGATCGATATTTTGGGTTTAGTTAATTTCAAGTGGGTGTTGTGTTTCTGTAAAATTAAATGTACAGAGAATTATGCAACCATTCTTTCATAAAGAAGAGGAAGATCTTATGGTCTAAACCCCCCAATTAAAGCAGTCTGTTTAATGGGCGTCAATGGAATTCTTCAGAGGCGGTAGAAAAGGGTAGATTTAATGTATAGCGCTGAGACCTTTTTGTTCCCATACCCCTTTTATGTTTTTGGTAGAAGCTAGTGGTTTGTTTATTTATTTTTTATTGATATTTATGAGTGCCTGGACAAGCTTGCATGCACCTTGACTAATCTCACGGGACTAATGTTTGGCCTTACACATTTGGTCAAGAAACTTGTAAGATATTAAATTCTAGGTAGGGTCCTCGTGGCTCTAACCCATTTCCTCTAAGTTCTTTACTTTTCTCATTGGCTCAAGGCCACTAGTGCAACCATGGTGGTTGGTAGCTCTAGCGGCTGATATAATTTTTTGTGAACTTTTCACTTAACCAATCAAAAATTGTGTTTCTGCTTCTCAAAGAACGGTATCAGTCTTTCTCAGCTAGTCACTGTGGATGCTGGCTTGGAAAACTACTCCCCTCTTTTCCTTTAACAACACATGATCTTTAAAATGTGGTAAAAACAATGTCACAGAGATTCCAATTTTCTGATTCTTTCAATCTTTGTTCATTTCTTTCTTTCTACCAAACCCAGAGGGACATCCCCCATTGGTTTTTCTTATATTTCTGAAATTATGTCTACGACTTTTGTTGGGAAGTAAGTTGGAAATTTGTTTTGAAGTATAAAAATTGGTGGAAAACTTACGGTATTCATAGTTTCTGTGTGTGTACTTAGTGTATGTTCTTTCTAGTCTGGAAGGACAGTCTTAATCCAGATGTGTATTGTCCAGTGTATGTTATCCCGTCCTGTCTCTTTTCAGACGGACAATGTGGATCTTTGCACAATCCCATGTAAACTGACATTTTTGGTGGCTCACGTGAACAGTTGTGCTTTTAATTTTACCACTTAATCTATTCATTTTCTTCCTTCAGTTTTGTAAGTGTTTTAAATTTGTCTAGTATGTGTTAAGATATGTTTTCCTTTTTCATGATTTTAGGGAGTCAGGTGACCTGAACAAGAGGAAATCATACTTGCCCCCCGACAAGCAATTCTTGATCACCAGAAATGGTATAACTTCACGACCATAAACTTTTTTGTTCTATAGTAATTATAAGGGATAATTACAATCTCATCCTTACTGTTTGGCTATTGTGAAATTCCTACCTCGTGTTTTAAAATTAATTTCAAACACTCAATCATAATTTCTTGTTTGGTTTAGGCCCATGTGATTTCCTTTCCCATAAAGAATTATAGTTCATGTGCTTTTGCCATTTATGCTTCTCTTTCCGTACCCTTCTATTGATTTATGGGCATTGCTCTCAAATAGTACCATGAAAGTACACTATTGCCTGTTAGTGGGCCTCTTGTCCTTAAACCTTTGTCTTTCTACTCATGCTTCAAAATTGAATTACTCTTTACATTAAGACATCAAACTTGGTAGGGAACCCAGTTAGCAGAGACAACTGAAGTCTTTATGAAGTTTCAATGCAAAGCATAACTTCTTTCTCAACAACTACTGCACCATTGAGACATGAGATACACGTCTGTAGGTCAGTAGGTGTATCTTTCTTAGTAATTAGTATTTAACCTGTTACTAATTACCGAAGAAATTCTTTGGTAACTATTTCAGCACCAGTAACGTTGTCTATTATACCTTATAGCAACTAGTGATTTGGCATTATGTTGTGGCCTGTCTTTAAGTCAATGATGGTTTACTATTTTAAACTATTAATATTGTAATAAATATTGAATGAATTCTTTGGCATATCTAGACTTCAACTTTGTTCAGCCATTATAAAGAGTAAGGATGATTGTTCACTTCCTTTGCAGTTCCTTGCCCGCGCCGGGCTGCATCTGTAGAAGAGGAGTATGAAGCTGCAGGTGGTGAAGTTCTTCTTGATAATGAAGATGGTGATGGCTGGCTGGCAACCCATGGGAAACCGAAGGGTACCGACCTTAATCTTTCAGTGTGAAGCAAAGGATTTACATTTGGTAAATAACGTGTGCTCTTTCACGCAGAAGAAAAAATTGATGAAGTGGAAAATTTGCCTTCCCTGGAAGCTCTTGAGACTACCAGGAACAAGGTTGTTAAGTCAATTCCCAACTATTTCGGTGGTGAAGATGAAGAAGATATTCCTGACCTGGCTGATATTGAAGAAACTGACAACGTTATTGATGCTGATCCGGTATGGCTACCCTACCCCCTCTCAAAGCACCCATGCTCACTTAATTTATGGAATGTGGAAAATAATGAGTCTATTTTGTATAATTTTTGTGTGGCTTGGTATCTCATCTTGAAAAAAGTCTCTTGGTTTTGATAAAAGTTCTTGTTTCTTCATCATCATATCCACATACTTACCATTTTGGAATAAAGAACTTTATGCTCACATCCTACATAATTGTGATTTTGATAAGGTATTCAATGTTCACATTTTCATTGTAGGCCACTCTTCCATTGACCTACCAAGTTGCCCATGAACCTGATGACGATAATATCCTACGAACGCGAACTTATGATGTTAGCATCACGTAAGGAGACCCCTTCGCTGCACCTTTTGCCTTTTTCTTAATTCTTTAAATGAAACTTTTGTAATATATTGAATTAAAATAGATTAGAGTTCATGGGAAAGAAACCTTCGGACCAGCTAAACAAGTTATGAAAAGAAAAAAATAGATGCAGGTAGAGTAAATAACACACGAGGGTAGTTGGAAGTTGCTTAGAAATGCATACAGGATACTCAACATGCAGCTTAAATTTTAATGCAATTCTAAACCTCCCATAAAATTTTTCCTGTCTATGAAACTCTCTTCTTTCTTTCACTCCAAATCTCCGAGGAACTGCGAAGACTGCATTAATCAAAGAATTTTTCCTCTGAGGGGAGAGTTGTAAAAGATTTGCAGCAGATAGCCCAGATGAAGGTTACATTCTGTTTGTTTTACTTAGTTTTTTGAGGAAGGCATCTTTATAATTCAGAACTTCAGGAAATAATAAATAGAAAGTTCATTACTTGGAGCACTGGTGCATTACTCAGGGAGTCAAATCCTTGTCATTTTTGTTCAGTAGGAAAATTATCATCGACCCAGCTGAACTCTTCCGGTTGGGCATGTAGGTAGATGTTCTTGGCTTCAACCTGAGTTATCCTGGGTCTAAAATCTTCATAATCAGGCGTGATCTTGGCTTCAATCTGACTGCCCTTGCTTTAAAATCCTTTGGAGAAGGTGGCAGCCTGGCAGGTCTCAGTTTAGAACCTGCTGAATATGAAGGAATTGGGGAACCATTTCATTGTTATTAAAAGAAGTTTTAGTTTTCCATCAGAGTTTTTCCTGTTGGTTAGTGATTACCAATAGCTTATGAAATACATATCTTCATTCATGCAAGTAAGGAAATAACCATAGAAACTATTTAATACATGTTTTGAGGTTTTATTCTCCTTGATGGCCATGAGTATTTTAATTTTGTTGAGCCCAAAATTGCATTTAACGGGGTAGGTTCTTTGCATGATGGGTTTTGGTTGAGGAAGTTATTGCAATTTTGATGCATGAAGAGCATTTAAGATATGTTTTGCATGAAGAGGAAGTGATTGCAAATTCCTTGCATGAAGAGGATTTAATAGATATTTTGCATGAAGAGTTAGTAATTGTGGATTCCTTGCATGAAGAGCTCATTAATTCAGAAGTTGTTGAGGATTCCTCATATGAAGAGTTCTTTAATTGGGCAACCGATGGTCCTTTTGAATACAACGGGAGCCAAAGTATCAAATTCCTCCGAGAAATTGGTCGGTCACACTGAAGGAAAAAAAAGTTTTGGCTCACCGTCATTCTTTTGAAGAAGTGTCAATCTTTTCATTTAAAGGAGAATGAGCCTTTTTGAAGTTTGAAGAAATTTTTATGATTTTCCTATTTGCCATCTGAAGAGTTTAGCTTGAAGTTTTGGTTGTTTTGACTCGTTTTTTCAAGATATTAGGTGTTTCGTTGTTCAATGTTTTAGTCTCTTGTAGTTCTTTTTCTCTCCCTTTGGGAGATTGTACGTTTGAACATTTTTCTTCATTTACACGAATCTTTGTTTCTTGTTAAAAAAAATGCTCAATATATATTTGCATTAGCTATGTATTTTTTGGAAGTGTGGGTTAGGTATCATTATTGTATCATATCATGTATGACCTAACAATGAGGTTCATTTATGACCAATAATTATGCTTTCTAGGCTGTCAAAAACAGATAGTTGACTAAAAATTTGAAAATGATGCTATTTTTGTCATATCAGGTACGATAAATATTATCAGACGCCGCGTGTTTGGCTTACAGGCTACGATGAGGTTTGTATTTGTATTCTGTTTCCATTTTTTGTTTCTGGGGAAACTTTTGAACTTGTACATCTGATCATCATGCATTTATTACTAAGACATCTGAATTAAGGCAGGTACCATTAGTTTGGGGTTTAATTTTTTTACCTTAGAAAGTAATGAATGGGATAGCAACCAACAATCCATTTTGAAAGACACYGTGAGAGAACTGGATTTTCTTTTCCTCTTTAGATATTTCGGTATATTCGAAGTTATTAAGAGCATTTAGTACTTGGCGAAATGCTAGTAGAATTGCTGTGAAAATGGAGTTCAAATTTCTTATGCCTATGAGCTTAAAAGGATCTTCTATATTGTGTTTTCTTTCTTCGAGGCTCGAATATATGCTGTGTGCTGTCCATTCTAGAAACCTCAGGGTTGCCTATACGTTTACCTGTATGCAGGCTTATTTTTATTGAACTAGTGTAGTGTGTGCTCATGGTCCAATGGCGTGCATGCTTTATTTCTGCCCATATATATGCATATATGTACACTATGTATGTATTTCTATATGTATAAATCAGAAAATGTGATTAGTAAGATAACAAAACATTAATTATAATAATTTATGTTTTCAAAAAAAAAAAAAAAGAAATTATAATAATTTAATTTTTAAGAACACATCTTGGATACTTGTTCTTGATCTTGACTTTTTTAGTGGGTTTTATGGGTAGAATGGAGTGTGATACACCAACTTTGAAGAAGATCCAGGCAGTGAATGGAATAGAGTGAAATTCAATTTTTTAGTTTATCATTGGTGTGGAATATAAAATGTTCTTTTTTTTTTTGATAAATATAAAGTTAAGTTGGATCAACCTATTTATCTATTTATCTTCTTAGATGCATATCTTCTTATTTCTAGATTATTTATCCCTTATTTCACATTATTGTTTTTTGACAAGTACAATATTATCTGTTTCATGAAGAAAAAATTATCGAAGCATTATTATATATTGCATGATCAATTTTACATTGCTGACATTTCTTATCCATTGTGATAAAGTTTTCTTGCTACAGAAACAATGTATTGAGTACGTTTTTTACAATGGACAGCATTTTTATTTTTCTGTTTCTTTGCAAGTTCTTTTAATGCTTGTTTTACACAACTTCAATTAGCAATATACATGCTTAATCAAGTCTCTGTGGAATTATGTCAGTCAAGGATGCTCTTGCAGCCAGAACTAGTGCTTGAAGATGTTAGTCAAGATCATGCACGAAAAACAGTAAGTTGTGAATATGTAATAATGTAGTTGTGATATCTTGCTATGCCACATCGTTCAAAGGAACAATGGAAAAAATGTTAGGAAGAAAAGGAAAAAAGAAAAAAAGAAAGAAGGAATGATGAGCTTCCCCCTTAAATAGAGGACATTAATATCTATCGGATGAGGAATGAACCTCATCATATTGGATACTTTTTAGAACCCAAGGACACAGTTATACAACCAAACAGATCTGGTTCAAGTAAGTAACATATTAGTTGATACTTGATATCACAGTAAATATGGGCTGCTTGAAGCCTTGAGCCCATGGGATTTTGTGTGAAATTCATTTCTAATTGTAAATGAGCAAGATTGTTCACTACATATATTGATTTTAAGATCTCAAGTCTACGATCATTGAAGTTGCAAATTATTTGTGCTTGTTCTAAATTTCGCATGAATATGAAAAAAATCGGTCGGCTAACGACATATCCTTACTTTTGCTATGTCTTCTTTATTTCCCCAAATATTAGATTACTTTTTCTGAAAAAATGTATATCTCATTATGATTCAGAAAGTGTGAAGTCTATTTTATTTGATCAATTATATACATATAATGTTGAAAAGATAAGAGTATCACGGGCAATGAGGAACACTTTTAATGAGCAGTAGATCTATTTGAAATGAGAGAAGAATTTAGACTTTAATTTGATTTATATGAAGTGAATTTAGTCAAATTCCTTAACAAAATGTAACAATAAGAAATCTAAGTATTTCTTCAAGTAGTTAAAAAATTCCCTGTACTCTTTGTACTTTGATGTCCATCAAGATGCACCAGAATTTTATAGATGAATCTATAATGGAGACAAGGAGAAGGAATTTTTATTCCCAATTCAATTTGTTTTTGTTCAGGACTGGTATGGTGTTAGTTAACTCTTGTTTGTGGTGTTGTATGCTGAACTCATTGGGGGAGTCAGGAGGACCCATGCAAATATTTTATTTTCTCCAAATTTACCCTCCCAAACTATGGTGGTTGAACTTCCACTGATATTGGATTGTGCTGTTTTGTGAAACATGATTTCCAATTATGTTGTTAAATTCAATCTTTGGGAATACAGGTGACCATTGAGGACCATCCCCACCTTCCTGGAAAGCATGCTTCTGTACATCCCTGCCGACATGGGGCTGTGATGAAGAAGATAATTGACGTGTTAATGTCCCGAGGTGTAGAACCTGAAGTTCACAAGTAAGCTATCTCAAACTACACATTTGAAACAACTGATTTAGTTATGGAGACAATCTATCCTAGTTCCTCCTTACCTTAACCATCTCAAACTCTTCAGCTTATTAGTTGTTTGCTCCTCTATTTTCTGTAGGTACCTTTTCCTGTTCTTAAAATTTGTCGCCTCCGTTATTCCAACCATCGAATATGATTACACTATTGACTTCGATCTTGGCGGCCCTAGCAGTCAATAATTGGGATTGATAAGCATTGTGAGCACAACAGGGTACTAATTTTGCTTCTTATTTTCATAATCATCTTCAAACAAATATTTCAAACTGCAACTTTGTTGATTGTTTCCAGATAGTTTCGCCCGTTGAAATAAACCCCTATTAAATTCATCAACTGTTCAATCAAGCATCAGCATGCATACTCTTCAAATTTCTTTTCAGCATAGGTGCGGTTGAGTCAACCGCTTGATCGTTGTCACTCTTCATTCAAAACATTCTTAAAAATCAGACATTATGAAGTGTTAGTCGTAGCATAATTAGTTGTAGCAACACTTGATCTAAGTTGCCAGATCCATGACTCATTCAGGTTCTATTCAGTAAACGCGATTGTATATTTCTTTATTGCTCTCGTTGGTCATTACTGGGATCAAGCCTGACTCTTTTAACGTGTTTGATTAATGCAGATCCGGTTTTACGAACGTACTGTGGTTCTTGTACATAACACAGCTTGGAGACACCATGAAATGGTACCCTCTTCAGTCTTCAGATATAAATTTAAGGTTTTGTTTCTGAAAGTGCAAAGATTGCCATTTCTTGCTGTTGTGTTGTTAGTTTGGTTACTTGGATTTCATTATGGTTCTCTGTAACATAAAATGGATCTCACTGTTTAATGGGAATTTGTTTGCTACTCAATTGTTGCAGCAAAAACTCATTCCTCTTATTGAAAAAAGAAAAGGGATTAARTAATATTGTTGCAATTAACTCTTTTCACAACTTCTGGTCAGCTTATTTTTCTTATTTGCAGTCTAGTCCTTGATGTTTTGGCCTTTCAATTTATCCCTTCATGTATTCAATGATTTTCATTTAGTCTTTACCATCACTAATGGCTATATACATGTGATTTTGAATATAGTAACTTTTAGGTTAAAATACTAATTTGATCTATGTACTAGCCTGGTCCTTGTACTTTCAAAATATTTGTTTGGTTTAAACTTTTTGTTCATTTTAATCTATGTCTTTTCAAAATGTTCATTTTGGTCCCTTAATTTTATTTTTTTTTCTATCACAATTTCAACACGACATTAAAACCAATATATTTATCAAAATATAAACATTACTTTATACTAAAGAGTTTCTGTTATGCGTAAAATTTGTATTAACATTTTGTAAGGAGGGATTAAAATGATTACGTTTTAAAAGTGCAGGAATCAAAATGAATATTTTCAAAATATGGAGAGTAAATGAACCAAAGTTTAAAATAGAGGGACTAAAATGAGCATTTTCAAGGTATGAGGACTAAAACGAACCTAACTGCAAGTATAGGGAGCAAAATAGTATTTTAACCTAATTTTTTTTTATGAGTTTGAACCTAACATTTTGTAATCTCAACTTTATAATTTCATTTTTTGGTGACTTCATCTCTAAAATTGAATAAGCCTTATAAAACCGTTAATTGTCATGTTGTAAATAAATAATTAATTTTTTCAGTCAATAAAAAATGATTTAGAAATATGGTGATAAAAACTGGATCAGATTTATCATTCCTCATTCTGAGAATACGATGTGTGAGAAAGATAAACTTATTTCGCATTATGAGCGAGATGAAAAATATTTAGTTAGGAGCGGATATCATTCCAAAGAGGTGAGAAGTTGGTAGAAGTTCTTAAAGTTACCCAACAAAATTTAAAAAGAAAAAATTGTTGGAGAATGTTCCATAATTTTGTATGAATTGAGATGTTTTTTAGTACGACATGTGCCGGTGAGGATTTAAAATCACGATTTTTTAGTTGGAGATATGTCCCCTAATCAATTGAGCTGATTAGCTATGTTGAGGTTGCCATGGACCGAAAAAAATTCACGGAGGGAGGTGACTCTTGCCACATTTGGAAACAGAAACAAAAATAATAATAGTAAATTAATATCGATGTAAAATTAAATCATGTCTTTTATTACTGATAGAATATCCTTCAATATTTTATTAAAAATGGAATGTTGGCATCAAAGCGGTAATTGACATATATCTTTAATCAAGAGGTTGTGAGTCCGATTCTCCATCCTCACATGATGTACTAAAAAACTTGTTGGATGGAAAACTAAACAATTTTTCCTATTGCTGTGAGAAAAGCAAACCCTGACGCAATAAAAGTCCAAAGCTTTCAAGTTTGTATAGATCTCTGGACTAGAAAAGAATGTGTATGATAGATCTATGTATGTCTAATAGATCTTTGAATTTTTTATTTTGTGACTAAAACTTTGACATATTTGACACTTTTATCCTCCGTGTCATCTCTCAAAATGGACAACTTTTTTCATGTCATCTTTACCTCATTCTCTTCTTGACTTGTTCAAGTAACATTATAAAGAGCTTTGGGCTCAAAATCCTTGTTTCTTCTTGTGCATTAGCCAACATTTGATGTAGTGTGAAAGCCTTTTGAACCTTCTTTGTCTTGCTTCTTGAAATTGATCATTCATTGCATGTAATTGATTAGCAATAGAACGGTAGGAAAGATATCAATTCATCCGAGAGTGTCTTTTCTTTTTTAATTATTGTGGGGAATGTTTAAAAATAGCCCGGAGAAATTGGAAAAATAGAAATCTAAGAAGAATTTTGAGCTCTGGGAACACCAAATCAAAAGTTGAGCAACAGAGAAGAAGAAGATCGTGAATAAGAGATCAGAAGAAGATATGGTAATTGTTCGTACCGAAAAATTTTCGATAGTCACAATAGATCTTCGAGAACATTCCAAGATAAAAGACCTGCAAAAAAGAGTTAGCACGAGGGATAAACAATTTTGCATACCCTCACATTCTCATCTTAGGAATATTTATAGAGCTTGAAATGTAACCGTTGGCATGAGGGAGGTTTTTCATTTGAATTTGTGGTTTCCAATCCGTAAATGTAGGTAACCATATGCGTAGTGGAGGGAAATCGGTTGAGTTGTTAAGGGTGGCCGAATTCGGTAGATGAGTGTTCAGTTCGGCATTTGTCTGAACTGATGCCATTAATACGCACGTTCCCTGCACGTGTTCTCTTTTACTCAAGCCTTTGATGACGTGTTAAAAATAAATGTCAATCAATAGCCCCCTACTTCGGGAAGATTTAAGAAGTTCGACTTGATATTCTTGGAGTAGCGACTAGTTCAGAGGTAGAGTTCCCTTACGTCATCAAAAATCAAAATAATTTCCCCCCACTCTTACGAACTGGTACTCTAAGTTGTCGAGTATTTATCCCTTCCTAGCGCACGTTTTCGTTCAATCTTAGCTTTCTTACAATTCACTTTAAACGCTTAGGGCAAGGGATTTCACCTCCAATTGCTGCGAATCAGGAGGGCTTGTTGTCTCCATCGTCCTTTCACTGCTAGGTAATTTTCATACCCAGATTCAATTCTTTTTCTTCTCCTTTTGTTTGTAGTCGATAGATGGCTAGGACCAAATCGTTCAACCTTGGCTCTCATAGACCTTCCTCTTCCCAAGGTCCTCCTCAAGAAAGTCCACCGCCTAAAAGCAAAAAATCTCGTCGCCATAAACGGAGTGAATCCTCAGAAAACAGTGGAGACTGCTCCGACTATTCTTACTCGAATTGCCCCGAGGAACTGTTAGGAATCCTTAGATACAACTATTCAATCCCAAAGGACATTGAGTTGAGAGTTCCCGTGGAAGGTGAAACAATTGATAAGCCTCCCATAGGTTGTGTTAGTTTTTATCCCCAAATGTTCGAGTACGAGGTTAGATTATCTTTACACCCTTTCGCCCAATTTTTCCTTAATGCTGTCAATTTAGCCCCTGCCCAATTGACGTCTAATGGTTGGGGTACCTTGACGGGATTTTGGTACCTTTTGGTGGCGTTTTTGTAGCGATAGAACTTGTATCATTTCTGTTGAACAAATGTTGGCTGTCCATACCATAAAAAAGTCTTATAGGGCTCCCGGTCGTTTTTATTTGAGTTGCCTTCTTGGCCTCGCAAAGCTGGTGAATGGCCCTGTAATGGAGAAAGGCTTCTCCTCTATTGTCAAGGGACCCACCTCCATAAAGAATTGGAAGCAAAAATGGTTTTATGTATCGGGTAACTAGTTGATGACCACCACCGAGGGGTCGGGGCTCCGTACTATGAAGTTCCCATGGAGTTCGATAGGCTATGTAAGCTCTTGAGACTCGTTTTCTTCTCTGAAGCAAATTTATGCTGTATTAACTAATTACGCTGTCTTGGATTCTCCAGCATTGATCGACCCTCCACCAAAATTAACCAAAGAAACCATATAAGTTTTGGTTGGTTGTACTGTTTTATCAGTCGGGGACCGCTATAGTCTAGACCTTTTAACCAATAGGAATTTAAGGAGTTGTGGTCTTGCTGCTAAGCTCACCAAAGGTTAGATTTTTCTCCTTGTTTATTTACTCTATTTCAGAAAAATTGAATTGCTAACACATCTACATCTGTAATGCAGAAGAGATGAATCCTCGACCTTCTAGATTTAGTAGCAGTCGACATCGTAACACTCCCTTTGGAAGCGAAGTGACTGTCGAGTGACTGATCCCCTCGATAAAGGAAAAAAGGCTTGCGAGCTCTTCGTAGCTAAGGGATGGACAGTGGGATATTAATAGGAGTAGTGGCATCCAATAGCCCCAACCTACAGTTGAGACTAGGCCATCGTAATCAAAATAGGGCCAACCTCCACTGCCAAGTTATCTCGATCCGAAGAGGCCAGCTAAGAGGAAGTTAACTTCTTTGATGGTTGACAATCAGATAGGGAATGCAGGAGTCCCTACTTTTGGCGCAAACAACTCATCTACGCCTGCTGAAGACTCTGCAAAAAGTGAAGAAGATGAGGCACAGCTATTAAGGAGGAAGAGAGTACACGGTGATGATAATTTTGTCACTACGACCTCTAAGAATCCCTTGGCAAGCGAACTTCTAGATGGTCGAACAGAAGCGCCTTTTTCCCCCATCATTCCTAACATTAACCCACCATCACCAAAGGAGATGGATTTTGAATACGAAATTTTACTTGAGGTTCCCAGGATATCCCTCCAAGAGCTTGATGAGGCCCAATCCTGAATACCTTTTGCTGACAAGGGCAATGCTGCTCCAAAAGCTGGCCCATCTAGAACTAGGGAGACTTCATTCGAGGTCTCCGTTCTTCTACTGAATTCTCATTCGAACTGCCACCATTTTTGTTGAACATGTGTGGGGACGACGTTTTGTCTCTTACATACAAACTCTGCCCCTACTTCTCCAAAGACTTGAAAAAACACGCTTGTGACGTCAACCCATCGTCTGCTAGTGAACTCTTCAAAGACGTTGCTACCCACATTGTCAAGGTAGTCTTCAATTTTAACTCTGCTAATTTTATCTTCCCTCCTTAAATTAATTCTTCAATCGTTGTGTCACTCTTAGGCTTTGGCTCTCTCGTGTCGGGGAATAGCTTCCATTGGCACTGAGCTTTCTCAGCGTGACACCGCTAGGAGGAAAACAAGATCAAACTCGCTAAAGCTACTTGTTGTCTACGGTTTAGAACCCTTTGTGCAAGTATACACAACCGTTGTAGCAAGTGATAAAAAGATCGTATCCACAGGGATTGATAACTAAACACTTCAACAATTACAAAAGAAAATCAAACAAATTAATAAAAATATGTTTTGAACAAGAAAAACTAAAGGAACTCAAACAAAATAGTGCATATATGATTTGCTGATTAAAAATAAGGCAGAAATAAGCAAAACCATATCGATTAAAGAAAAATATGCAAATAAGAGATTAAATACTGATGTTTAAAATG